TCCCCTCTCTCTCCCTTCCCCTCTCCTCCCCTCTTCTCTCCTCATCTTTCCTCTCTCTTCTCCTCCCCTTCTCTCTCAATAGGATCTCTTGCTATGTAGCTTGAGCTGACCTCTAACTCAGGATCCTCCTGCCTCAGCCTCTTGGATCCTGAGATTAGAGATGGGAACCACTATACCCATCATTCAAGGGCTGATTTTCAAGGACAAACTACATGGCCAGGAGATGTTATAGGTGCTAAGCGTTGGCTGACAGGTTTTAATTAATTTTGCCAAGGGCAGGGATGGGACTGGATGAATGGGGTTGAACGGCTACCCTGAGATGGGACCCCCGTTTTTTTAATTACTTTGGCAATGGGGAGGCTCCTTGTCGTCAGAAAGGAAAACCTCAGTTTCCCCCATTCTCTTTCTGTTCTAGTTGGCAACCAAGCTTCAGAGGTTTTCCAAGCAGTCGCTGCCTCTCACACCTGGGTGGACGGGAGAAGAAACATCTGTAATTGATGCCCGAGATTCTGAGAACATAAACCCCGGTTGCCGTCTTCTTACTGGATGGAGCCTGCCGCAGCAGCCCACTGAGGGTTACTTCCCTTAGGACCCTGACTCGTCAGTGGGACTGCAGATAGGGAAGATGCTGAGTTCTATCAAATGCGTGTTGGTAGGGGACAGCGCCGTGGGGAAAACCTCACTGCTGGTGCGCTTCACCTCTGAGACCTTCCCGGAGGCCTACAAGCCCACTGTGTACGAGAACACGGGCGTGGACGTCTTCATGGACGGCATCCAGATCAGCCTGGGCCTCTGGGACACTGCCGGCAACGATGCCTTCCGAAGCATCCGCCCCCTGTCCTACCAGCAGGCGGACGTGGTACTCATGTGCTACTCTGTGGCCAATCATAACTCATTCCTGAACTTGAAGAACAAATGGATTAGTGAGATCAGGAGCAACCTACCCTGTACCCCGGTGCTGGTTGTGGCTACACAGACTGACCAGAGAGAGGTAGGACCTCACAGGGCCTCTTGCATCAATGCCTTAGAAGGGAAGAGACTTGCCCAGGATGTGCGAGCCAAGGGCTACCTGGAGTGCTCCGCCCTTAGCAACCGGGGAGTACAGCAGGTATTTGAATGTGCCGTCAGAACGGCTGTCAACCAGGCCAGGAGACGAAACAGAAGGAAGCTCTTCTCCATCAATGAGTGCAAGATCTTCTAAACCCCAACACCCGACATTCGTGAACGTACCTCAAGGACTGACGGGAGAGGGGAAGGTGCCAAGCCAAGGGGGTTGCTGCTCTTTCTTGGCACACTTGAACAGCCTTTCTTTCTGGATGGAGTTATCAAGGGGGTCGGTCACCAATGCTTCCGCTAACTGTACTCTACAGATAAACTCTTCGCCCAGCACAGCCAGAGAGATTCCTTGGGAAGCCAAATGAATAGTCCATCTTCAATGAAAAACTAAACAACCATCCTAATTTAGACAATGAAGTGAATTTCCCAAGTATGTGATATTTAAACTCACGTCTTATTTAAATAACAGTAGTTAGCCATATAGCTTTTGTTTTCATGCTTGGGAAGTCTTTTCTTTGAAAAGGCAAACTGCTGTATGAGGGAAATAACCTTGTGGGGCTCAGCCATATGTCTGTGGTGTTATTATTTACTCCTGAATTGAATTTGGTTGAAACTATTTGCGTGCTGTGTTTTTCTAGATAATCAAACTTTCAGATGACCATAAACGGGTCCCTGGAACTCATTTTCCATTTCCCTATTATTCAGAGTTGTGTATAAATGCAGCTCCAGGCCGTAAGGTATTTTAACACTGCCAAATGATTTGGAACAGTTACTAATTTTTTCTCTGAAATTGCAAAGAAGTATTTCTTATTTACGATATTACCTGTCACTCAAAGGACTCCAGTTACATACCAAGTATCCCTTTCTCACTCACTAAGACAGAGGTGGAAGGAAAAATCTTTCTGCTAGAGAGTCACATCGTGCAAAATGATAGCAGTGGACCTGGGCACAGATGCACCAGACCCTTCTCCTTGCCTGGGTCTCCTGACCTGCGCTTTCTGACTGATTACAAGGTCTCAGGAGAAGAGGACGGGCAAACGTTCTGAACAATAATTAATTGGACAAAGTTCTCATTTAAGCTCTAAATTGGATGACATGACCCCATCATTTATTAATTTTAGGACAGAATTAAAATAATTAGAAAGGCACCTGTATATGTATGTGGGTGTAAATGTGTCCAAGCGGGGAGGCAGGGTTTGTAGCTTTTACTGTTTCATGAATAGATATTCCCTTGTGAAAAACATTACAAGTCCCAAGTTCAGAGAATGAGAAAGGCTGTAGTCATTACTCAGATAATCGAGGTTCCCAGGGGCAATACTGAATGAATAGGGCCATGTGCAGCTACACAAGCCTCCTTCCTAGTTGTTTGAAAGCAATGTGTCACTCACCCTTTCTACGGCCAGATTATCATTTCCTGTCCCAATCTAGTAACTAGGAACCACTTGAGCTGCCTTTCTTGGAGCCCGAGGGTTGTGTGGTTGTCCATGTGAAGGGCGAGGACCCCGAAGGAGCGACTCCACTGAGGATTATGCTAACATAAGCAAATCAGTTTATCGCACTGATTCTCTGGCTGGTTCTTTGGGGTGACAATCTGGTAAACACATCCTAGGACTTCCCCATGCTGCCTTGTCCTCTGCCTCTCTTCCATACCCACTCAAAAGCCTGGGACCTGGATCGTGGTCTTGGGTAGAAGAATTAGCCCCATATCCTAGGGCTGATAGGTTTGCTTTCAGCTAATCTCTCAGGACTCTGGCTCTGTGGCTTGTCCTTGCTTCTGGGCCACCTACTACATCCCTTGACTTGAGAGCTCTTGTCTTCATCTCATGGCGATAGGCATCCTGCAGGTTGGAATGCTAAAGAACTCACCAGGCAGGAGAGGAGACAGGAACTCATCTCCTCTGTATCTCTCATATCCCTCTAATTTTCTTCTTATTTTCCAGCACACAAAGGTTTTTGTGCTTTGTGTGTGTGTGTGTGTGTGTGTGTGTGTGTGTGTGTGTGTGTGTGTGTGTGT